ATATATATTTAGATAATGTTTTCTATCGGCGAGACGATGGAGTTTCTCCTCGGAAACCCGTTTTCTACCCCGGTCGGACAGAGAATCGGTAAGTCGCAGAGGGCTTTTTGAAGTTTTACCAGCTACTTGTTGTCATTTGTATTATTTAAACTGTCAGCGGAAGGTTTTTATAGWCTATGCAACACCACCGATTACCTAAATAAACCTGACGAGGTGTTTTATGCGCCTTTTCCTCCTAAAYAAACTTATAGTCTTTTTAAAAACAAGTTTTAGGAAGGAGCAACATTGCAAGAGGTGGGGCTTTTGTGTAGCCTCTTTTCTTATTGGCTACTGTAGGTGAGTGACAGCTCTTCTGGCGAATCACGGAGCACCTTTAGTATTTTCTTCTACTTCCTCGGAAGTGTTTTCTTCAAAGGCGCAGTTTCATGTCTTCTGCAATGATAAAACACATCCGGCATAAAAATGATGTTTTGTTTTTGCACAGTTCTAAAAAGAACACAGAAACTTCTCAGTTTTTTCAAGTCATCACAAAAAACAAACCCTCTTAGGCCTTCATGTTCATTAATGGCTGGAAATATTCAGGGCAGTCATCTCAGCCCTTCCTTCCTCTTTTTTTATCCACACACTTTGTTGCACAGATGCTGGTTGTGAGAACAGAAGCAGCTGACAGTCACATGAAGTGGAGGGGAGAGCTGGAGGGAGGGGAAATGACTCAGTGGGATTGGGAAAGGTTTGGTGAAGTGTGTTTTTGGTGGAAAGGAAAGAGATTTAGAGACTTATTCTGAGCTGCTGAAGGGTGGAGTGCAAAAAGCTGCTGGCCCAGATTACCAAACATTTGGGAGGAAAGATCTTAAAGACTCACTCTGTGTGTGTTGTTTTTTTTTTTGTAAAGTTCAGTACTTTTAACAAAGCGTTTGTCTGCTTCAACAAGTTGAAATTTAACAAAAAAGTTTTTAATTTTAAATAATAAGTTGATCATTAAAAAGATGCAATTTCATAGAAATGACCTTCTGGGTTATGTGGGTTTAAACACATCCTTGCTTTGCATCACTTTGAAGCCCCAGTTACAGTCGAAGCGACCTCTTTGTGTTAAATGCACCMTCCCCTCCAACAACATTTTAAAAAATACACTCTTTCAATTTAAAATAGTCTGAGGTAATATTTGTATAGATAATTATTTGGAACAAACAGATTATTACAATTTATAGTTCATTTACTGTCGGATTAAAGATATCAATCAGTTTTTTTTCACAAACCTATAGAGTTAATAGTGATGCCACACATGTTTAATGTGATTTAATGTTATTTGACCTGTACCTTAAAACAGAAACAGGAACAAAGGGTCAATTTAAACTCAGTAAATCCAGCTTGTCCCGTTTGTTTTTGTTGTCCAGGTGTGGTTCGGCTGCAAAGTGAACTCATATAATCTTGTTCATAAATATTTTTCAAATATTCATATCAGAAAAAATAGGTTTCACTTTTAATAATAAGTTAATAAGTTACGGCAGTTTTATTTTACTTTGACCAACTTCATAAAATAGTTTATCAGTTCAGGTGTTCAATCTGCAAACACAAACTTTTATTTTGAAAATCTGCTTTATTATAGCATTACACACTAACCATGTGAAATGTTTCTTAGTTATTAATTATTGTCCATCCATCCATCCATCCATCCATCCATCCATCCATCCATCCATCCATCCATCCATCCATCCATCCATCCATCCATCCATCCATGTGTAAGAGGCGGGGCGTCACAGGGACACATGGAGACAAACAAGACCTGCGCACAGTTTAAAGTTATTAATTGATCTAAATGTTTTTGGTCTGTGGGACGAAACCCACAGAAGGAGAAAACCCACATGTGCACAGAGAGAACACGCAAACTCCAAACAGAAAGGCTGGGAGGCAAACCTGTGACCTTCTCGCTGTGAGGCAACAGCTTTAACCACTGCCCCGCCTTGACGCCCGCAGACCAACATGCAACACAATCAATCACCACTTTTCAGAAAAGGACATAAAACCAAGAGTCTTTATTTTCTCCTGACTCTCTGTTGTTGTTGTTGTTGTTGTTGTTGTTGTTGTTGTTGTTGTTGTTGTTGTTGACAGAGCGAGCCACCGGCGCCTCTCTACAGTCGGAGGACTGGGCGCTCAACTTGGAGATCTGTGACATCATTAATGAGACAGATGAAGGGTGAGAAAGATGAGTTTTATTAGAGACTTTCCAGTTGAACAGGAAGTAGAGTTATTTATTTCTCCGTACCGCAGCTGGTGGTGACTTAATGACCTAAATCAGCTTAAAGACATTTTTTATATATAGAACATTAGATTTTCAGAGGTTAGACCTGTGCCCTACACACGTAAAACTCAGTAAATGTGTTTGAATTCGACATCTTCTATTTGTTTTCTTTGTGGTTTTCCTTCAGGCCCAAAGATGCAGTTAAAGCCATTAAGAAGAGAATAGTTGGAAACAAGAACTTCAGGGAGATCATGCTGGCGCTCACTGTGAGTAATGATCCTGTTTTATTTTAATTTAATTTAATTTTGTTTAGAATTTGCAGTTTCATGCTCAGAGTTTTAGATGTGACTGTCAGCTACTACCACATGAAATGTTAGCTTCATAAAAGTAAAAATGACTGAATTATAGATGTGWTTGTGCTCAGCTAAGGTTTATTTCCTAAAAGTTTTATTAAAAAGTAGTCAAACRGTTCATGAATTACTTTACTAACAGACAGACACATTACCTTTCAGCAGTGATAACATGAGTATATTTTGTTCTGGTAGGTTCTTGAGACCTGTGTGAAGAACTGCGGCCATCGTTTCCATGTTTTGGTGACCACGCAGGAGTTTGTGGAGGGGGTTTTGGTTCGTTCCATTCTGCCCAAATACAATCCGCCCACCGTGCTCCACRACCGAATCCTCAGCCTCATACAGGTGTGTGTCACAGCAAGTGTTTGCAGGTTTTATTTTACGGTTGAAAGAAGTCTATGGGATGAATCTTGTTCCAGCAGGAACTGAATTTGAATTGTTCAGATTAAATCTGAATGTGCATCATTTAAAATTGAATTCACTGGTTTGAAAATTAATTTCACTAAATTGAAACTGAATTTAAAGTTTTGTATCTGAATTAATTTGTTTTGAAATTTTATTTTGGTTTAAAAAATCAATTTGACTACTTTCATTTTCAGTTCCATAATTCAGATTTTTGTGTCACATCCTGGTCCTTGAGAAAGCCAGGCAGAGTAATCAAACACAGATCCACAGATTTATGTTTCACTTTGGTGAAGTTTCTCTTCTGTATGTAACAGAGTTGATGCAATCCACTGTAAAAGTGACAAAAAGTTATTTTATTGCAGTGATTAATTTTACATTTACATCATGGATCACATATTGATCAGATGCTGCTGACTGATCCATGATGTGATGTAAATATAACATTTTCTACATATAGGTCAAATTAATCACTGCAATAAAATAACTGTTTTTGTCTTTTTCACTTTTGCATCAACTCTGTTACATCCAGAAGGGAAACTTCACCAAAGTGAAACATAAATCTGTGGATCTGTGTTTGATTACTCTGCCTGGCTTTCTCAAGGACCAGGATGTGACATAAAAATCTGAATTATGGAACTGAAAGTGAAAGTAGTCAAACTGAATTTTTAATAAACCAAAATACAGTTTCAAAGCAAATTAATTCAGATACAAAACTTTAAATTAAGTTTCAATTTAGTGAAATTTATATTCAAACAAATGCATTCAATTTCAAATTCTGCACATTCAGATTCAATCTGAGCGATTCAAATTCACTTCCTGCTGAAACAAGATTCATCCCATACAAGTTGTTTATTATATAAAACTTACTGAACTTGTTTTCTCTCCTGAGTTTGTTTGAACTCAGTTATTTCTTCATATAAAATTCATTTTCAAACCAATGCATTCAATTTCAAATTATGCACATACAGATTCAATCTGAGCGATTAAAATTCACTTCCTGCTGAAACAAGATTTATCCCATACAAGTTGTTTATTATATAAAACTTACTGAACTTGTTTTCTCTCCTGAGTTTGTTTGAACTCAGTTATTTCTTCATAAACAATCCCTTTTTTGTCTTTAGTCGTGGGCCGATGCATTTCGCAGCACTCCTTCCTTATCGGGGGTGGTTTATGTATACGATGACCTGAAGAGGCGAGGTCTGGAGTTCCCCATGACGGACCTGGACTCCCTGTCCCCCATCCACACTCCGAACAGGGTGAGACCGGCTCCCGTCACACGTTTGACACGGTCAAATGAGTTTTAGCTCACGCATTGCCTCTTTGACAGAGTATCCCAGAAAATGAGACCCCCGAAGTGACTCCTATCACCCCCACACATCAGTCACAACCACAAGCTCCTCCCACTGTCGGTGCTCCCAGTCAGAATAACGCTGCTCCGGTCCAGGCCAGTGACGGATCGGGTCAGCTGTCTGCAGAACAGGTACCACAACCTAAACGTTCCTGAAGATCCCTTCAGAAAAAAAAACCATCGGAGACATTTTACATGAGTAAAGGTGGCCTAAAAGAGGCAACATGTGAACTAGAAGCTAAAATTAGCGGAATAGCTAAAAGTCAAATGTAGGGAAAAAAAAAACCAAAAAGCAAAACAGAACAATGTTTTTTTAAAAAAGCTGTAAATATTTTAATGAATTTTATGTTCAAAATATTAGTAAATAGTTAGATTTTGGGAAAAATATAAAATAGTTTGTAAAGAGTTTATAAAATCCTTTGGGGCATTTGTGTTTCAGTGTTTTCATGGTGCTTTAAAAACCCACACAGATTAGTCAGATTAGTCTGCTGACTCGTGAAAAAGTCATTTTTACTCATTAGAACTCTTCTGTTTACATTCCTTCATTTTTTTAAATAACAGGCCTTAAAGTTAAAATGGTGTTAAGTTATTTTTTATCTCTCTGATTTAAATATGTTTTTGAGTCAGTAATGTAAACATGTGCTGCATGTGTGCTTATGTATTTAGTGTTTTTTAAATTAATTTCACTTTATTTCAACTGTACTGAGCTGCAGTAATGTGCAAATTTACTTGTTCATTGTGTGATCAATAAATTCTGGTCTTATCTTTTAAAAAGGTCATTAAAAATATATTATCGCACCAGAACATATCCTTTCAAACACCTTTACAGACAGTTAAAACAGTTTTAAAACCATTTAGCTGGCTGTAGCCTGGAATACTCAGCACTGCTTTCTTGAAATCATCTTTTCTGGTCAAACTTCAGGAACGGAAGCTGCGCAGGGAGCTGGAGCTGGTGAAGGGAAATGTGACAGTAATGTCTCAGATGCTGAATGAACTCATACCTGGACAGAGCAAACCGGACGACACCCAGCTGCTTCAGGTAATTGTCACGTCACGTTCTGCAGCTTATTTGTCTCCAGATTTTGTGWATAAAACCATCAAAATGGTTGCTAAAAGGAAAAATTTGCAAAACGGTAGCTTAAAGCTAAAACTGCAGCTAACATCTAAATGAGCAAAAACATGACTAAAAGCTTAAATTGAGCAAATCAGAAGCTAAAAKCTACATGGGGGATACGAAGTCGACATAGATCCTGTTTGATGAGAGCTCAGTGTATTTCTGTGGGGCAAATCTTTGTAAATCAAGTTACCGCATTTATTCAAGTATAATACGTAAAATTTAATCCATAAAATCATCCATAAAGTTGGGGGGTAGTACTATACTCGGATAAATATTTTTACTTATGTATTTTAACTGAAATGTTGGCTTCATTCACAAAATTATTGAGTACTTAAATGAGACCGCATCGTAAAATCAGTTGAAACGAGCTCACCTCTGACACTCCTCTGTGCTTCAGAGCGAGATAATGACAGATCCAGGCAGGCGACATGATGTGAAAAAAAGGGGGGGGAAGCAGTCCTGCACCTTAGTAATGATAATGAACTAATGACATTAATGTGTGACCGAGCCGCTGCTCGATTAACAACACATGTTCGTCTGTAATGGCTGCCGTCTACCGGTGTTCTGAAAAAGTTTGTATC